TACGGGGATCTTGGAACCAGTCTCCCTAGGATACTGAGGGTAGTTAGGTTTTGGGGAAGTGAAAAGTTATACATGGATTTTCAACTGTGTATCAGGTAAGGTACCCCTAACCCCCATGCTGTTCAAGGGTCACCTGTATATTAAAGAAAGGTATGTGGATTCTTTTTAGGGTGGCTTATTTTTTTAAATTTATTTAACCCAAGAAGAATGAAAAATGGAGGCTTCTCAATTAGCCATGGTGATTGTCAAATGGTGTTTCTGCTGAGATGAACATCTATCTGCATGTGGCATTGACCACACCTGTCTGTAGTACAAATAAATTGCAGTAGTGGGCAAGAGAGAATCATGGTAAGAAATCTAGACTTAGAAACATGATATAACCATAGCATGTCAGATGGCTATTTTAATTATTTGTCTTAAAGTTGGTTCAACATGAAGTAATTCTACTGGTTTTTCTTAATAAATGGCATATCACAGCCATTTGCCAATCTTCATCATTAAAGCTAACTTGCTATTTTAGTCTATTTTAGCACATTCTACTCTCAAAACACCTAGCTCCCCTGAAAACTTACTAGTTTCTTAAAATGTAATGCATGCCAGCCCTGTCTTCAGTGTGTTACCTATGTTATCATACTGCATCCTCATGACTCTATTGGGACTGATTTCCCCTTTCCAGACTTGAGACAACTGAGACGCGTAGAGGTTTACTAACAGTCCAGGTTCACGTTGTTAAGAAGTGGCAGAGCTGGGATCAGAACCCAGGCTGTGACTTCAGAGACTGCACCCTTCACTCCCTACCTGCCAAGCTGGATTGGCAGTGAATGCAGAATGCTTCATTGCCTGTAGAGATTCAGATGTGACGGTCCTTAGCCTGATTGAAATAGGTCAGCACCTTTTTAAATTTTGAATTATGAGTTTCCCTGTTTTAGAACACAGTGAAGAAAACTGTAACATCACTGCGTATTTCCTCAGGTGCTAAAATATGTATATTCTACCACAGTTCCAGGCTTGGCTTTGCCATTGACTACTGTGAGTTTGGACAAGTTTTTTTAACCTGGATTTTGGGTGGTTCCACTATAAAAGGAAGGGATTAGACTAGACAGTTCTCTCTATTTCCTACTAGCTCAGTAAATTTTCTGATTCTGTACCCTACCAGAATTAAAGGTTGATATCAACTTTTTTATCAGTCATCTAGAACCTGTTGTTCCAAATGAGAAAAAAAAGTATGGATAGTAAGTGCTCTTCTCTTTCGCTGGGCTCTTTGTTATTTAAAATACTCAAAAAATTTATACCAAGGCTTTAGCCTTTGCCATCCTAAAGTGTATATGTTGTGTGCTCAGTTTTAAGGGCTGGGAATATTCCCTGAAGGTCTGTGCTGGTCCTAAACAAAATGGAACACTCAAGACTAAGCACTAAAAATATCTCATAAAGTGCTTCCTCCATGCACTCATTGGAACAGGTAATTACTGTGGCAACAACAAACTAATTTGAAGTGTTAGCTGTTAATTAAAAGAATGCGGAGGTGTATAGTTGTCTTTTGGTGTAACCAGAGCCTCCATTCAAACTTCATTAATCACTTTACAGTTAATGTGTTGAGGAAGGTCAAGACAATTGAGATGCAGTATCCGCTGAGAGTAAACAAATTCCTTTTCTCCAGGTGGAATGCCATTTGCAGAGTTAAGGAGCACACTCCACTCATACCTGGCATTGCCTTTGTCATCTGCTTCTCCTTGATGATTAAATGTTAAATCGGTACTGTCATTGCACTGTAAGCCAAGCCACACAGCATTTTTATTGCTCGAAATCGAACCCAGACTTCCACGGATGAATTAGCGTGCGTCATAATTAAATCATCAAGCTCCTCCTTTTATTTCACTTGGAAATAGGAGACCTTGCTTTTGGAAAAGAGATCAGCTTTCTTGACAAGCTAATTAAGCTGCCAAACTGTTCTGTATGGTATATATTAAACTATCTGCTCATCGTTTACTTATTGGTGCTCTTTGTCTCAAAAGCCCCAGTGTTGCCTGTTGTCCAAAGTGGCAGCACTTCTTTTTACAACTTTTGAATCCTTGTTTATGCATTCTACTATTAGTCTTCACATTTTTTGTCTTTGGTTAGTGATTCTAACATAGAGTATTTTTAAAAGTTGAAATTTGAAAAGTCAGTGGTACATAAGAGGAAAAATAATATATCATTATTAAAATACCTATATTTACATGGAATAAAGTTACTAACTTCCTTCAAATCACATTTCAAATTAGCTTAGTCCATCAACTTTTCTGCCAGGCACTGAGGGAAATACAGTGTGTGTTGTCGTTGTCATCTGCTGCTGCTGCTGCTTCTGCTGCTTTTTTTATGGATTTCAGTAAGTGGAAGGGAGAGGGAGAGAGAAACATCAGTGATTAGAGAGAGTCATTGATCAGCTGCCTCCTCCACGCCCCCTACTGGGGATCGAGGCCGCAACCCTGGGCATATGCCCTGACTGGGAATCGAGCCATGACCTGGTTCATAGGTCAGTGCTCAACTGCTGAGCCATGCTGGCCGGGCCAGTGTGTGTCTTTATATGTCAATTTATTACATGAATTCAGATATGTAATGAGTCAAATCATAACCTGAAATGTAGTTTCACATTGTAAAAGTCTGATACTAATATAGATAGTAAAGTAAGTGCTAATTTGTTCTAAGCCCTTTTATAATATAGGGGATCCACTTGTAAAACATCACTTTATATAAAGTATAAAAATTTTTAATTTAAGTTTTATAAACTTAATGGTATTTGTATATACTAGGGAGGTTGATATTTAGACAGTCTATAGATACTTTTACAGATTAAAGAACTCTTTGGTAAAATGAACAATTGCCAATTTTATAATCTTGCTTTTCCTTTAAGATATAATTTCTCTATAATTAATTGATAAAAGTTAAGCGTACCTTCCAAAATTGACTCAACCTTTGTCCACTCAAGTAGGAAAAGCAGAATGAATTTCTTATAACATATATACATGGATATATACATACATTTACATATTTTCTTCTACTTTTACATGAATTTGTAACATTTTATATATGGAAAGTTATAAGTACTTGTAGGTTCTTAATAACTAAATTGTATCTGTAAGTCTGCACTTCAAAAACAATTGTCAGTGATTGCACAGCTCTGTACATTTACTAAAAATTATTGAATTGTACACAAGTGAATTTTATCATATATAATTATACCTCACTAAAGCTGTTTAAAAAATTTGTCAGAGTGTCTGGCCGGCATGGCTCAGTGGTTGAGCATTGACCTAGAATCCAGGAGATCGAGGTTCAATTTTCGGTCAGGGCACATGCCCGGGTTGCAGGCTCGATCCCCATTCGGGGGCGTGCAGGATGCAGCCGATCAATGACTCTCTAATCATTAATGTTTCTGTCTCTCTCTCTCCCTCTCCCTTCCTCTCTCTGAAATAAATAAAAGTATATTTAAAAATATATATTGTTGGAACAGCCACACAAAAATTTCTGCCAAAACAACAGAAAATGATGTTTTCATTTGATAATAGTGGAGTGCATATTTGTGTAGGTTTTTTAAAGACATAAGCAATTTTTTGTAACTGTATGGTGATGGTGTTAATTAGATTTATTAGGGTGATTCTTTTGCAGTATACATATACAAATATCAAATCATTATGTTATATATCTGAAATTAATATGATGTTACATGTCAACAATATCTTGAAAAATAATAATAATAATAAAGTAAATGAGCAATTTTTACTACTAGTTTATTACCAAGTAAAAATTGGGAACCTGGCAAATTGTGCAACTTGGCAGCTGAGGACGGGGAATTCCTGGCAAGCTAAATTAACTTCCTCCACATGTTTTCTACCCCCTCACATCTTAACACTAGCCAGGTGAGAGGAAGAACAATCTGGTCTTGGCTAATGTGCAAAATCCTCTATGGAGCAAGACTTTAATTCTTCCAAAATAATTTCTTTCTTTATACTTTTATGGACTTGCAGTAACAGTGCTTGTTTGTGTTGTGTGGTTCATTTTGAAATATTTAACTAAGGCAGATTGTTTCTGGATAATGTTCAGAATGTGTAGTCCTTGCAGTACACATATGAAAGGCCACATTTCATTTAAACACAAAAGGTCTTGCAGATTGTTTCTGGATAATGTTCAGAATGTGTAGTCCTTTCAGTACACATATGAAAGGCCACATTTCATTTAAACACAAAAGGTCTTGATGAAATAATGGTGTTTATTCTGCAAACGTTAGTCTCTTTTTCATAAATAAATGTATTCATATTCCTTGATTTAAATTGTAGTTATTTCACTGTATCTGATCATTTGATCTTGTCTCCCTTCTGAAGCTTTTTCAATATTGAGAGATGCCAACTTTAGGAAAAGATGAACCACCTACTTGAGTCTTATAATCCTGTGACTTCTTATAGAAATTTATATCTTTTAAGCCATAGTTAATTCCATGTGTTTTGAGATTATTTTGATGAGGGAATATAACTGATTTGTGTATGTATAAATGAAATAAACAGAAGGAAAACCTCCCGTTTTATATGACTCTGTATAGTGCTTAGCAGAGAGCTGTAGAAGACCTCCACATACACACACACTCACACACACTCACACTCACAATGACAATCTGTCGTAAAGGATCTAGAGCCAGAAGACCTGGATCTGAGGTCCACTTCTGCCACTTACTGACTTTGTACCATTAGGCAAAGTACTTAACTTCTCTGTGCTTCAAAGTTCTCATCTGTAAAAGGATAGTAATGCCAGCATTACCTCATAGGGTTATTTTAAGGTAAGGTATAATGAATCATTTTGTAAACCATTAAGCTCAATAGAAATGTAAATTACTAATGTTATTAGTGTTCTTGGAAAGTATCATATGTCCTGTCGCTGCAGATGTGTTCAGATTTATATTTATGTCCTTAACCATTTTCTAGGTTGTTTAGTGATCCCAAGTAATTTTGTTTTGTTTTGTTTTCTTCCCTTAGAGCATATCACGTCCCAAGTGGGAAAATCCTAGCTGTAAAGGTAAGTGCTGGATAAATTTCATGACATTCTTGATGCTTACCACTCCTCCACCCCTTGTTTAGCTTGAGTCACAGGTAGTGATAAACAGGAACTGAAATGGTTTTAGGTTTGGATTCGGTGGTGGAAACTGTAGCACTGTTGTGACATTCAAGCTCCTGAAGGTGTTTTAAGCTCATGCCTTAGCATGCTCAGGTGTGAGCACCCCACGTCATGACTCCCTCACCGTTGTTGCCTACACTTCTTTCTGTGTTCCCTGTTAAGTGGCATCACTGTCTTCCTGGTCCTGCATCTCAGAACCTTAGTTATTCACTCCTTGTTTCCCTTTATCTCTGGCATCCTATAAGTCACCATATTCTGTCAGAAATTTCCCCTGAAATGTGTCCATATGTCACTCTTAGTGTTCTCATCACTGCCTTGGCATCGTATCCGGCTCACATACCTCCTACCAGAACTATTTATAACAACTTCATTGTACCTTCTGTCTTTTTCTTCCTCCATGTCCCTTTACTCTGCCACCAGAGTTGAGAAGTTGAATCATGATCTGACCATGCCACTGACTTGGCATTCCCTGCTCCCCACCCCTGAGAGTGTACAATATAAAGCCTAAGATGTCTGACCCTTTACCACACCCATCAGTAGTCAAGCTGCACATAACTCATGGATGGTCTGGGCAGTGACCTAGGATGGTCCTCACTTGTTGCCATCCTGTTCATAATCCACACCTCATCCCTGCCATACGCCAAGATCCCAGGCCTGCCACGACACTTGCAGTTTAATGTCTGGCATTGGCTGTTGGTGCTTGATCTTCCCATCATTTAATCTGAGATTCTCCTATGTTCTTGTGAATTGTACCTCTGACCGAACCCGAGGCTTCCTCAAGTCCCACAGAACCCCACTTCTAACCCTCAGTTCTTAGCTGGCAAACTGGTTAGGCGTGCTCTGTTCCTCCCCCTCCCCACAAGTTGGCCATGTCCTCTACAGATCAGCCCCTTCCCACCTTTACAGCCACAACCTCTGCTTTACCTGTCTGTCACTTTTTGTCATGCCCTGTATTGCCAGTCTCTGGACCCTTAATAATGAAAGCTTTTATTTTTTGTGTGACTACTGTATGCCAGGTATTATGCTAGATGCCGTATAACTATTATCTTATTTCTTAAAACTACAAAGTAAGCCTTTGTATTTTAGATTTGAGAAAACTGCGACTCAGAAAGCTCAGTTGTCCAAGGTCACACAGTTGGAAGGGCCAGGATTTAAAGCAAAATCCATCTGACTCCCAAGTGTACGTCCTCTGTGTCACCATGAAGCCTTCATACAAGTATCACCACTGCTCCTCTTTCCGATTTCCGTCTGTCCTTTCATGGTTCGTCTCCTCTATGATGATTTCTTAATTATTCCCAGTGAGAATTCATTCTCTTTCTCTAGCATTTGCATAGTATATATTTCTCCATCTTTTATCTTACCTAGGAACCTAAGAATCTGAACAGTTAAATTGCAGTTGGTTATACCTTTAGCAGTTTAAACCAAAGCTAAGGTTCAGGCCTTCTGACTGCTGTGTAGTCAGAGTTCTTTTTCTATACCACACCCAGTACAGCACCTGGAATGTGTTATGTGACATTACAAAGTCTAGTTTTAATAACGCAAATAGCTTTTGGTGAAGAGATACAACAAAGCTCCCTCCTGGGATAGTTTCTTTGATATTCCAACCAAACTAGGTTTACAGAATTATAGAACTGAAAGAGATCTTAGAGATCATCTGCTGAAGCCCAACATGAGGAGGAACCTGATGTCCAGGGACTTCCCAGGGTAGGTACTGTAGAGCCAGTCTCCATCCCAGCCTTCCCGAGTCCACTGAGTACAGCACTCCTGTACCACCCTAGCATTGGGTTGTCTCTTCCACACCTCCTGAGCTCCCTCTCTACTCAGGGGACACCTCCACCAGCTCGAGCACTATTTCCTTTTCTATTGAGTTATTTGTTTGTTCCTTTAGTTTCAGAACTTTTAGACAGACAATAGTGTGGTGAAGGCCTGAGGCAGGGAGTGGGTACAGGGTTTCACCCCTTTCAGGGGTTAATGGGGAAAAAGGGAGACACCTGTAATATTTTCAACACTAAAGATAAATTTTTTTAAAAAAGAATTATAAGTAAATCCTAATCTGATTTAAATTTAATTATGATTCCTTTGACTATTTTAATAGTTTTTTAGTATTATGATTATGGCAATAGATATGACATGGGTTTATTATGGTATTAAGCATTGGTATTAACAATGGAGAAAATGCTTAGATTTGTTTACAGAAATACTAAATAAATAAATAAAATCTTAAAAAAAGAAAATAAAGTTAGTCAACTCTAGTTAATTCACTCCAAGAGAGGAGAACACTGCTATAAATCATCCAAAAAAAAAATGTGTTTGGCCTTGTATGTGCAGTATAATTTTTCATCATTTCATACATTTTGAATTATCTTTAACATAAGCTAATATTAAATTTCTTGTGCATGACTGTTTAGTTGGGTATGGCAAGTGGCTTAAGTTTCTGGAAAAAATTAAACTCAACTGTAAAGACACATTTTTAAAGAGTTGTTAAAGTAGAGACTTTCAGTAAGTGGAAACAGCAGGGGTTTGCAAATATACAGTTCATTAGACCTGACCATAAAACTGAGCTGTAGAGCAAGAACTGTATTGTATTCACTTTGTATCCCTAAATTACATAAAATAACATCCTAGATGCTCAAACTGAGTTGAGTGAATGAGTAAGAGTAGATATGATTATTGTGTTTAAATATTTTTGCTTATCCCTAAGCTTTTGGGCAGCAAAGGCAAAAACCTGTTGCTTTTATGATAGTCATAATCTAGGAAAAAGAAATGTACTATTACTTCAAAACTGGAAAAGTTTTCCATTAAGTCTTAGAAGTGGTTAGTTTCCAAATATGTGGTGATTTTCCAGATATCTTTGTTATTGATTTCTAATTTAAATCATTTGTGGTCAAAGAATATACTTTGTATAATTGGAATTATTTTAAATTTATTGAGTTTTTTTATGGCTCAGAGTATAAGTTATCTTGGTGTTTTCTGTGCACATGAAAAGAATGTATCATCTGTCGTATAGTGTATTGTATATATGTTAATTAGATTAAGCTGGCTGGTAGTGTTCAAAATTTCTGTATTTTACTGGGTTTTATCTACTTGTCTCTCAATTATTGAAAGAGGAGTATTGAAATCTCTAGCAATAATTGTGGACTTATCTATTTTTTCCTTGCAGTTCTTTTTTTTACTTAATATTTTTTGAAGATCCCTTAGATACATTTAGGATTGTTGTGTCCTCTTCATGAATTGGTCCCTTTATCATTACAAAGTGACCTTCTTTATCTATGTATTATTCATTGCTCTGAAATCTACAGTCTGATATTAATACAGCTATTCCAGCTTTGACTAGTGTTAGCATGACGTGCTTTTACTTTTAACCCGCTTGGGTGCATTTTTTACAGGCAGCATATAGTTGTGTCTTATATTTTAAACTAGTCTGATAATCTCCACTTTTTATTTGGGTTGCTTAGATCATTTACATTTCATGTGATTATTATATGGTTGGATTAAAATCTGTCATCTTGCTCTTTGTTTTCTATTTGTCCTGTCCTTTTTTATTTTCAACAGTTGCTTTAGAGTTTATAGCTTACATCTTTAACTTGCTTATAATATACATTCAAGTAATATTGTATCACTTTATCTATAGTATGAGAACTTTACATAGTATATTTCACATAGTATACATACTATACTTTTATTTCCCTCATTCCGACCTTTGTGATCATATAGTTTACATACTCAAAATACAAAGTAATAACAGTACATTGTTACTACTATTGCTTTAGAGTTATTTGTCTTTTAAAGACATAGAAAAAGTAAGAAATATTTATATTTACATTTTTGCCAATCCCAGTGCTCTTCATTCCTTTGTATAGATCCAGATTTCCATCTGGTATCATTTTTTCTCTTCTGTCTAAAGACCCTCCTTCTTTTGCATTTCTTTCTTTTTTTTTTTTTTTTTTAAGTATTAATCTTTTATTTTTTTAATTTTTTAAATTTTTTATATATTTTTATTGATTTCAGAGAGAGGAAGGGAGAGGGAGAGAGATAGAAACATCAGTGATGAGAGAGAGAGTCATTGATCAGCTGCCCCCGCACACCCCCCACGGGATTGAGCCTGCGACCCTGGCACATGCCCTGACTGGAAATCTAATGGAGGCCTCCCGGTTCATGGATTGACCTTCAACCACTGAGCCATGCCTGCCGGGCTGTTTTATTTTTTGACTGGAAAACTAAACACTCCACCAGTCCAGGGGAGCTCCAGCCCCACCCTGACCCTTCTTGACATTGGCCACCCTGGTCAGGGACAGGAGGGAGAAGTCAGTGTGCTTCTGGGAGTCTAGGCGGACAATGAAGGGCGAGTTGTTCACCACCTGCTTGCAGACCTTGTTGTGGTGTTGGGGGATCAGCAAGTGGGCATGGTGGATGGACTTGGCCAAGCCCAGCTTGGAGGCCTGGGTCTGTAGATGCCTCTCCGAGAAATCCTCAATCTTCAAGCCCAGGATGTAATCCACCTTCGTCTTGCCCTTGTCTAGCACCCCATGAGGATGAGGCACCACAGCAGGGCATTGCCTTCAAATATGCTGCAGGTCTTACTAATCCAGCCTCAATCAGCAGCTCCCAGGCAGCCTTGCAGATCTTGGCCAGGGTGAATTTGACCCTCCAGACCTCACATTTGTTCCAGAGCCCATAGTCGCTTATCAGCTTCAGTTCTTGGTTGAGGTGGGATTTCTTGAAGAGTCTCTGCAGGTCATCACATAAGTTTTATGACAGACCCAGCTCTGGGCCACTGACATGTTGGCTCTCCCGTAAGTGAAAATGAGCTCTTTTACATTTCTTATGGTGCATGAGTCTTCTGGCAATGAGTCCTTCCTCCTTTTGCATATTTGCAGCATGTATATTTCACTTTTATTTTG